ACTGTATCAACCCAACTGTGAACCTAGAAACTTGCACCCACTTGTGAAAGAGATGTACTCTTGCTCTAGAGTGTGTTACTGAATATGTTAAATCTGTAGTGAAATGCTTCTTCTAATCATGTAGTTATTAAAATTTTTTTAAATGATTAAAATAATAATAATAAAAAAAGTTAAGTAGAAACAAACAAACAAAAAAGATAAGCAGAGTGGCACATACTTATAATCCAGTGCTGAGAAGGCAGATGGATCCCTAAGGCTTGCTGCTCAGCCAGCCAAGTCTAACTAGTGAGGTTCCAGAGAGAGACTCTGTCTCAAAAGAAACAAGGTGGATGACTCCTGAGGAATGATACCCAAGGTTGACCTCTGGCCTCCATATGTACTCAGACACATATGCATGTGCATCCACACACATGTTCATCTGCATAGCCATGAACACACACACAGATATTCTCTGAACATATCAAAATTTGGGCTCCTCAGGCACTTTTCTTCCTTCTAAAAACTTGCAGATTTTCAAGAGAATCATCAATTTACACCATAAAGTGTCACTATGTCACCGTTACCTGCCACTCAATATACCACAAGAATGGATGCAGAATCACATAACCTAGGAGCTGGCAGGTATTATCTCTCTGCTCCATGCAGCAGACATTCCCCCAGGAGATGTAGGTGGATGGGATGGTGACAGATATCTAGGGTACTCTTCCTAGCAGCTCATTAAAGTGTCTGATGACTGCCACATGCCTGTGGATATCAGAGCATTTCCTCCAAACTCTCTGGAGATGCGTGGCAGAGATTCTCAAGGGCAGCAATGGTCTTTTTTCATTCATTTGTCCCATGGAACTGGGCCCATGCACCCAGTCACACATTAACACCAACCTCCAGAGATGAACGCGTCAAAGATGATCTGGGCTCCATTGAAGAAATCACCAAACTGAGCCTCCCAAAGAGGCAGTAACTTTGGGCTTTCAATGCTCATCCCATATTCAAATCCCAGGACAGCCTCTTCTGACAGGGGGCTGTTGCTAACCTAACAGTAAGGGAAAAGAAATCAAACACTGATGTGCAAGGGGACATCTGAGAGAAGCCACAAAAGTAAATCATCCATCACATGTATACAAACCTCTCAAGGGAGGAAGGGCGTGGAAGGGAGCTTTGCTTTCATTCATCACCATGTTCCTTTGAGAAAGGAGACCTGCTCAATGTCACTGATGCATTGGGAAAAGTTAGGACAAAGAGAGGAAGAGAGATCATATTGGAATACAGATATCAAGAATAAGCAATACAGAGCTAGGAAATAGTACAGTGGCAGAATGTTTGCGTAGCATTAATCAGCACTGACTCAATCCCCAGAACCACCACCAGAAATGGAAAAAAGGGAATTATTTGGGGCCAACAAGATGGCTTAGCAGGTAAAGGCATTTGTCACCAAGTATAGCAACTTGAATTTGGTCTCTAGAACCCACATAGTGGAAGGAGAGAACTGACTACCCACAAGATGTCCTCTGACCAGACACTGGTACGTGCACGTACACACATGTGCATGCACACACACACACACACACACACACACACACACAAATAAAATGTAATAAATGTTTAAGACTAAGCAATATACTTCTCAGATAAGCCACGTTTGAGAGAATAAAACTGTCACATAAGCTTTTTAAAAAATATATCAAAAAACAAAGATGAAAAGGTTATAAAATAAAGACCAACCTTTGGTTAAAAATCTATTACTCTGGGGCTGGAGAGATGGCTCAGGGGTTAAGAGCACTGACTGCTCTTGCAGAAGACCCGGGTTCAATTCCCAGCACCCACATGGCAGCTACAAACCGTCCTTAACTCCAGTTCCAGGGGAATCCAAAGCCCTCTTCTGACCTCCGCGGCATTGCACGACATGGGTGCACTCACATACATGCAGGCAATATACTCATACACATAAAATATAAATTAAAAAAAAATCTATTACTCTAACATATGATTTGTGTGAATCAAAAGAGTCATCATGTTCAAATTAAAAAAGCAGAAGACAACTAATCTCTGACAAAATGAAAGAGACATGATGTTAACAGTGCAAATTGATTCTGTAGTGGACTTGAGAAGGAGATGTTAGAAATGTCTTGGTGCCAGTTTCTGATCTCACTGGTTGTGTTGAGGGACAGAGGATATCCTTGTTGGTAGAATATACACACTGGAGGGTGTCAGGTTGGCAACTTGCCCTTAAATCATTTAGGATAAAGTTCCTTGTATATATCTAATTTGTTATTGTTCTTCTGTCTTTTATTTTGTTTTGTTTTTTTGAGACAGGGTCTCACTATGTGGTCCTGGCTGACCTGGAACTCACCATGGATCACTAGGATATATAACCAAAATTTTTTAATTATGTTTGTTTCCAAAAGAATTTTTTTTTTTTGAGACAGGGTCTTAGGTGTAACCCAGGCTGGTCTAGAACTGGCTATGTAACCCAGACTGGCCTCAAACTCATGGCAATTCTCTTGCCTAAGCCTCCAAAGTGCTAGGATTATAGGCATCAGCCATGACACTCAGCATGCTCCAATTTTTCAGTTATGTCCTTAAAGAGTATTTTTGGCAATGAAAAGGAATAAAGTACTGACATACGCTGCAGCATAGACAAACCTTAAAAGCATTGTACCAAATGAAAAAAGTCATAAAAGTCCATACATCATTTGATATATGTGAGCTTTCCAAAATGGAAAGTGGACTAACAAGTGGTTGCCAGGGACTGGAGAGAGGATAGAATGGGAAATGGGTACTAATACACAGGATTTCTTTTGGGAGATGAAAACTTTCTGTAATTATATAATAGATATGGTCTCACAAGTCAGAATACACAAAAAAAAATGCTGAACTATACATGCAAAGGTCAAATTTTATGAGTTGTATCTCTTTTTAAAAATTTTATGTATATGAGGGGCTGGAGAGATAGCTCAGTGGTTAAGGGAACTGACTGCTCTTGCAGAAGACCCAAGTTCAGTTACCAGCACCCACATGGCGACTAACAACAGTTTGTGACTCCAGTTTCAGGGGCTGAGGCCCTATTCTGGCCTCTGCAGACACTGCATGCATGGGCGCACTTACATTCATGCCAGAAAACATGCACACACTTTTTTTTTTTTAACTTCAAAAATTACAACACCTTTCAGGTCCTGGCTCCATCACCTAACCCCTCCTTTCTGAATTTCCCCTCATTTATTTTCTCTCCTCAGCAAAGAGACCATCAACAGTTTAAAAACAGGGGCTAGAGAGACGGCTCAGTGGTTAAGAGCACTGGCTACTCTTGCAGCGGGTGGGAGTTCAGTTCCCAGCATGCACATGGAGGCTCACAAACACCTGTCACTCCAGTTCCATGGGATCTGACACCTTCTTCTGGCCACTGTGAACACCTATACTCTAGTGGCACACACAAATACACTCAGGCACACAAACACACACATAAAATAAATAAATCTTGCCAGGAGTGGTGGTGCACACCTTTAATCCCAGCACTCGGGAGGCAGAGGCAGGTGGATCTCTGTGAGTTCAAGGCCAGCCTGGTCTACATAGTGAATTCCAGAACAGCTGGGGCTATAGGGAGACCCTGTCTCAAAAAGAGCCCCCCAAATTTTTTTTATTATTTTTATTTTATTGTATGAGTGTATTGCCTGCATGTATGTAAGTGCATCTGTGTTATACAATGCCCATGAAGGTCATGACAGCCTCTTCTGTCCTCCATGGGCATTGCAGGACATGGGTGCACTTACCTACATGCAGGCTATACACACATACACATAAAAATAAGTAAAATATTTTCTTAAAAAAAAAAAGAGATCCTGTCTCAAAAAAGTCAGGTGGAGAATGATTGAGGAAGAACTCTGATGTCAACCTATGACCTCCATAGGTGCACTCATGGGTACATGCTCCCACACATACATGCACACACACAAACACATAAACATGCAAATAATAAACATGCATATACCCCGACACACAAAAAAACCCCAAACTAACAAAAAACAAACCACACACACACATAGACAAATGAAAAATAAAAACAACCCCAGGAGTTTCTATCAGGGTTACCATATAAAGGACATGCTACTAGATAATAAAAAAAATATCTTTGGCAATATTCTCACTATGAAAGCAAGCAAGGCATTCAATTGAGGTTTTTAAGTGGTAGTATTCAAAACTGATACTAAAAATCAAATCAAAGTTCAAGGAAACTTCATTTGGGGGGGGCAGATACTAGACGTCTCAGCTACTTTATCCAAAGATGGATTTTAGAGTGTCTTAAAGAAAAGATGAGCTGCATGTCCTCTAAGTCACCTTGGAATATTGCTTTTGCCAAGCACATGTGTGTGTGGGGTGTGTGTGTGTGGTGTGTGCATGTGTGTGGTGTATGTGCGTGTGTGTGTGTGGTGTGTGTTTATGTGTGTGTATATGTGTATGTGTGGTGTGTGTGTGTGGTGAGTGCATGTGTGGTGTGTGTATGTGTGGTGTGTATGTGTGTGGTGTGTATGTGGTTGTGTGTGCGTGTGTGTATATGTTGTGTGTGTGTATGTGTGTGGTGTGTGTTTGTGTGTGTGCGTGTATGTGTGTGTGTGGGGTGTCTGTGTGTGGTGTGTGTGGGGGGTGTGTGTGTTTGTGTGTACGTGTGTGTGTGGTGTGTTGCGTGTGGTGTGTGTGTGGGGTGTGTTTGTGTGTACGTGTGTGTGTGGTGTGTTGCGTGTGGTGTGTATGTGTGTATATGTGTATGTGTGGTGTGTGTACGCATGTGTGTGGTGTGAGTGCATGTGTGTGTGTATGTGTGTGTGTATGTGTGTGTGGTGTGTATGTGGTTGTGTGTGCGTGTGTGTATATGTGTGGTGTGTGTGTGCATGTGTGTGGTGTGGTATGTGTGTTTGTGTGTGTGGTGTGTCTGTGTGTGGTGTGTGTATGTGTGGTGTGTGTGTGTGCGTATGGTGTGTGTGGTGTGTGTATGGTGTGTGTGCGTATGTGCGGTGTGTGTGTGTCGTGTGTGTATGTGTGGTGTGTTTGTGTGTGTGGTGTGTGTTTGTGTGTACATGTGTGTGTACGTGTGTATGTGTGTGCACGTGTGTGGTGTGTGGTTTGTGTATGTGGTTGTGTGTGCGCGTGTGTATATGTGTGGTGTGTGTGCGTGTGTGTATGTGTGATGTGTCTGTGTGTGGTATGTTTGTGTGTATGTGTGGGGTGTGTGTGTATGTGGTGTGTGTGTGCATGTGTGGGTGGTGTGTGTGTAGTGTGTGTGTGCGTGTGTGGCTGGTGTGTGTGTGTGTGGTGTGTGTGTGTGGTGTGTGTATGTATGTGTGTGTGGTGTGTGTGTATGTGTGGTGTGTGTATGTGGTGTGTGTGTGCGTGTGGGTGGTGTGTGTAGTGTGTGTGTGCGTGTGGCTGGTGGGTGTGTGTGCGTGTGGTGTGTTTGTGTCTGTGTGTGTGTATGTGTGTGGTGTGTATGTGTGTGTGGTGTGTGTTTGTGTATGTGTGTGTATGTGTGGTGTGTATGTGTGTGTGGTGTGTTTGTGTGGTGCATATGTGTGTATGTGTATGTGTGCGTGGGGTGTGTATGTGTTGTGTGTATGTATGTGTATGTGTGTGGTGTGTGTATGTGTGGTGTGTGTGCGTGTGTTTGTGTATGTGTGGTGTGTGTGTATATGTGTGGTGTGTGTGTGTGGTGTGTGTGTACATGTGTGTGTGTGGTGTGTGTACGTGTGTGTGTACGTGTGTGTACGTGTGGTGTGTGTGCGGTGTGTTTGTGTGTGTGGTGTGTGTGTGTGTGTGTGTGTGTCAGATGTCAACATCAGGCATCTTCCTCAATCGCTCTCTGTCTTATATTTTGAAATGGAGTCTCTCACTAAACCAGGATCTCACAATTCAGCCAGACTGGATGCCAGCAAGCTCCAGGGATCTTCCTAGTGTTGGATTGCTGTACCGGACTTCTTTATATGGGTGCTAAGAATGGGAGATATTTCCCTGCCCCACCAAATACACATATTCATGAACGTTTGTATAAATATCATGTACTGTTCATTATAGAAATTGTATGGTAATTAGGGAGACAAAAATGAAAAGACCCTATTCTTTTTTCTTTCTTTTTTTTTTTTTTTTTTATGTATGTGTATGTGTGTGGTGTGTGTTTGTGTCTGTGTGTGTGTATGTGTGTGGTGTGTATGTGTGTGTGGTGTGTGTTTGTGTATGTGTGTGTATGTGTGGTGTGTATGTGTGTGTGGTGTGTTTGTGTGGTGCATGTGGTGTGTCTGGAGTGTGTATGTGTATGTATGTGTGGTGTGTATGTGGTGTGTATGTGTGAGACTCATGTGTGTGTGTGTGTCTATGTATGTATATATACATTTTCTTTTCAGTGGTGCTGGGGATTGAACCCAGAGCCTCACATAGGCTAAGCAAATGCTCTACCACTGAACAATATCCTTAGCCCAATCTAGGCTATATATTTTTGGTCCAAATATAAATCCAGTTATAAGAAACTATTTTGAGGTCTTTTCGATGGAGTTTTAAAAAAGTCTTATCTTTTTTCTTATTTTCTTTGTGTGAAGATTTTTATGATGGGACTTAAAGGAGTACTCAGCCTTATACTTAAAGCTAGATAACATGGTAGGTCACAACTTTAAGAATAGTCAACAGAAAGCTATGACTATTGTCTAAAAACTCTGACATTCTGATAAGCCTGGAATTGCCAAAAATGCTTACCACACAGTGAGAGGATAATTCCTTCATCTATCAAAACTTGGAGGTTTTTAATCAGTTAATAAACCCTGAGGCCACAAAGCCTTTTGTAAAGATTAAATGAGATAGGCCAGTGTGTAACCTGGGCAACACAGTGAGCTCAAGGCCAGACTGGGCTACACAGGGAAACCCTACCTTATAAAAACCACACAAGCCGGACGTGGTGGCACACACCTGTGGTCCCAGCACTCTGGAGGCAGAGGCAGGTGGATCTCTGTACGTTCAAGGCCTGCCTGGTCTACACGGTGAGTTTCAGGCCAGCTGGGGCTACAGGGACACCCTGTCTCAAAAAGACCAAAAAACAATCTAAAGAAATGTCAAACTTTAGGGACCAAAGTAACCTGGAGGTCGTGTCTCTGTTTAGTTTTAACAGGATAGAAATGTTGGCTTATTATTCGTATGTTTGACTAGCTTTATTAAATGACAACAGTAACAGCATCAATTGTGAATTGACAAAATGCATATCTATATGATATTTACATGAAGACAGATGGCAGCTCAAATATACCTCTATTGTGTTTCATCCCTTCGAAATGAGATAGTCTATGAAGACCACTTAGCACTCTTTTAAAAGGTATGAAACTGGAGCTAAAGAGATGTCTCGGTGCTTAAGAACACTGACTGTTCTTGCAGAGGACCCGTGTTGAATTCCCAGCCCCACGTGGTGGCTAACAACCATCTGTAACTCCAGTTCCTGGGATCTGACACCTGATCTCTGTGGGCCCTGCACGACACAGGTGCACTTACACACATGCAGGCAATACACTCATACAATAAAGTAAAAAATAATAATTGTTTTTAAAAAGTATGAAAGCTAAAATTGCTGACATGTGTTTATTAGTTGCTTTAAAAATCCTCATGGCAGGAGAGATGGCTCAGAGGTTAAGAACACTGACTGTTCTTGCTGAAGACCCGGGTTCGAATCCCAGCACCCACATGGCAGCTAACAACTGTCCTTAACTCCAGTTCCAGGGGATCTGACACCCACTTCTGGCCTCCACAGGCATTGCACAACACGGGTACAGTTACACACATGCAGGCAACACACTCATACACACAAAATAAATAAAAATAATAAATAAAATTTATTTTTAAAAAAATCCGCACCAGGTGTGGTGGCACATTGTTGGGAAACCCTGCTGTTAGGGTTGTAGTTTCTCCATGTCCGGAAGCCCTAAGGGGCTCGGTGCCAAATGGAAGGACTCCCCTTTTTCCAGGGGGGCCTCCTGCTCTCTTCCTGGCTCACCTTGAAGTGCCACCAAACACAGATGCCTTATCTGAAACATGACCTTTGGCATAGTTACCTGGAGTAAAAACTACTCCCAGGTTTTTTCTATATGATAATCAGGCATTGTCTGATAGTCTGGAAGATAGGAGCCCACTGCCACATGTAAATAAAGCATACTATGAGCACCTATCAACTGAGGCTTTTGCTACTGCCTCCACACTATAAATTCTCCAGTTTTCCCACTAATAAACGGAGTTGTTTTTCACTGTGCCTAGAGCTGTGTCATTGCTGTTTCACTGCAGCTGGAACCAGGCTGTGATCAGTTTCCCCTGAAGAGCTGTCTTCCGTCAGCGCCCACTGGCCGTTCTGACCCCGTTTGCCGCTTCTGCTCTCCCTGCCCTCATGGGCTGGTGGCCAACGACCCGTGAAGAAAGGGAGAGTACCCCACAGCCGGCCCAAGCCTCCCCGCAGCTGGCCCGCCGAGCCGCCCTGCAGCACATGCCTTTAACCCAGCACTTGGGAGGCAGAGGCAGGCAGATCTTTGTAAGTTCGAGGCCAGCCTGGTCTACATAGTGAGTTCCAGGACAGCTGGGGCTACAGGGAGACCCTGTCTCAAAAAGACCAAAAAAATAAATGAATTAATAATAATCCTCTAATTGGGGCTGGAGAGATGGCTTAGGGGTTAAGAGCACTGGCTGCTCTTCCAGGGGGCCTGGGTTCGGTTCCCAGCCCCCACACAGTAGCTAACAACTGTCTATAACTCTAGGTCTAGGGATCTGATGCCCTCTTCTGGTCTCAGCAAGCAATAAACCATATATGGTGCATTTACATATATGCAGGCAAAACACTCATACATATAAAATAAAAATTTTAAAAGAAACCATTCTATAACTGTCAGGCATGGTGGCACATGCCTGTAATTCCCAGCACTTGGGAGATGGAGGCAAAAGTACCAAGATGAGTGCAAGGCCACCCTCAGCTACACAGGGAGTCTGAAACTATCCTAGGCGATGAAAGACTCTGTTTCAAAAAAGCAAAGCAAATAAACAAAACCCTGTAAGTGTAACAGTTGGCATATACATACATGAATTTTACAATATATATACTAAAACATCCTACCTCCAGAAACCCCTTCTGATTAGGGTCCATATGGTTCAGAGGAATGTAGGCATCATCGGTGTTCTGGCAAACTACTATTGCATGCCTTTGACTAAAAGTTCCACGGCCCACATCTTGGCCACTCAGACGGACATTGGAACCTTAAGCAAGTAAGGGGAAAAAAAGATTCCCATGAATGATCTGTAAACAAGATACGGTAGCCTTGAGATCTTTGTTTTGATACAAGGTCTCTCTATACTGTCCACACTACCCCTTGAACTCACAGGTTAATAAAATCCTCTCCCCACAGCATCCTGTGGAGTTAGGCTACAGGTATGTAATGCCAGATCAGATACTGGAGCTTTCTCATATCTTATACACTGGCTCATTCTGAGAATTTTCTTTAGGATAATAGATTGTCCTTATTAAAATATATCTTTC